GTGATCACACTAAGAATAATTTAGGGATTAAGGTGTGAAACAGGAAAAATAATTAACAGTTGATAATTATTATTGTATATTTTAAATATTGTAGCTGAACATTTTACTTTCTTGCTCTTCTTTTCTTCATATAATTTATTTATTTGTTTGTTTGTTTGTTGATGCATATATTTACTAACCAAATTTTTTGTCATAAATCCATGAAATTGCAATTATTATTTTGTTCTCACCTCTAAAATTTGTGCAGATGTGATATTTTTAGAATTGGGGATGCTGCATTTATGTATGTTTAATGAGCCAGTAACTTAGCATAGATTGTATTTGATCTCAGAAATCCATGGGGGACAAAACAGTACCACAAATATTGCCATATTGCCATTTTTATTTTTATTATGTAACGAGTGAATGCATAATATTCTCTTTCAAATAAGGTATCCTGTCATATATAACTGTGTGACCAATGCATGTGTGTGGATAGAATATTTTACACTTAAACGTATGTTTTTATCAAGGCTACAACCGTTGTAAATTTGTGATCAACATAATTGCCATAAAGATATTCAGTGCAATTAATTAATAACAAGTGGATAGAATAACAATAAAGTTTATGTTATATTTTCTGAGAAAGTTAATTCGTTGTGATTGACCGAGAGCAGGCAAATTTAATGTTTTGGTCTGCACTGCTGTGCGAATTAATGCGCACACATTTGTAATTTCTGTGGCCCTCTTTAAAATACCAAGAGCATAAAATCATCATGTACAATAATTATTAGAAATTTATAAAAACCCTATATAAATATTTATTAAAAATCTTATTACGAAGCAAACCCTATATAAGATTTAGATTTAAAAAGCTGAGTTTTACTAAAGCATAATATAAGATCTTACTATACTTAACTTGCTCAATCTAAAGATAATTATGATCTGGGTAGGGAGAAAATTAGCAATACATTCTTAAGATTTTACAGATATTTTCAGAAGTCCATAGCTCTGTGGTACCTTATTTCCAACATTTTACAGTGGTTACAGAAAACATGCAACATCCTTCTTTTACTCAACTATGCCTTCTTGGTAATCTTGCGAGATTAGCTCTTCAAGTATTTCTACTGTGCTGACTATTGGTCAGCTCTAACAATTCATTTATGTTATCAGGGCAAACACCCATAATCCCTTTCTAAGCATCTTTTTACATGTATATCAGACTCAATGTAATATTGTTTTCATATGAAACTTGCAGGAGGTGATGTTGATGTTCACTGCAAATCTGTCGTTTTGGGTTTTCTACCTGCAAAATGCCAAAAGAAGTTGCAAAACAACATTAATCTTCTCAATGGGCTTTGAAGGTTCATGTACAGGCTACTGAGGTGGGGTAAAGAACTACATGTAAACAAAACACTTCACTGTTAACTCAAGAATGGATGAACTGTTACATGGTATAGAANATTAATTATTGATACAATGTAAAAACCTACCAATAACAGGTGGAGCTTGACGGCTACAATGCCGACAAAATACAGACAGAGAATTTGCACCACAGTCATGCAGAATTATGTAGTCACCTCGTTCAATCTGATGAATAACATTCATTACACTACTGAATGATTATATTCTCTGTTGTATCTTACATGTACTACTTTTGCACAGTACTGGACATGTATGTTTTTTAACCACATTACTCTAAACAAGTCATTCGTGAAGGTCAGCTGAACTTGCTGATTACAGAGCAATTTTACTATACCCGGCAACTCTGAAGGTATAAGGTACATGTATGCATTACCATGGTCTGTGATCTGCAGTCCCACAGTCTACTAATGAATAATAAGAAAACTTTTCTCTACCACCACTTTCCATGGTCCATATACTGTAGTCAAAATGCTTGAAAATAAACTTGATACAATGTAGGTAGAAAGTCTCGAGAATTATGCAACAATGTACATATATAATTATGGCAAAATTACACAGTTTTAAATGACGTCAACTCAAAATGTTCCTCAAGTCCTTGTTTTAAGATCATAATATTTGAATCCACATGTAATGGTGTTGTGCATGCTTTTAGCTATATCTTTTTTCCTCCTGAACAATTTTTGTAAAACTCAGTTATGAGAAAACTAGCATTTATTTTGCTGTTGAACTTACATGTAGCGCTTGATGTTGTATATGTGTATGTGCTTGTGTGCATGCTAATGATGAGGAAATTGTGTGCAGTAGGGATGCACAATGCAATTCTGACGTATCCTGTTAAGACTAATTAAGGGGATTCCCCAGAATTGCATTGTGCATAAGCCACTACAGCCATTTTCAAGACTGTTAAAACAATCAGAGTATTGAAGCTTAGGGTGTGATATATTTCTAAAAACAACAGTTTTTGCTATATATTAATACATTTTACAGTAATGAATTTCACATATGACAATTCCAGTTAACAAACGATTTACCATAGGAAGAAAAACATCTCGTTTGACTACATCTCCAGAAAAACACAGAGGTCCAGCAATATTATAACGCATTCCCTATGGTCAAAGAATGTAGAAAAACAAGACAGTACTTATTTATACATTCAAAGGACATCAATATTGAAACTGAAAATATTTATAATTTCTAGATTAGGGCAAAATTTATTACCTGGGTCATGTCATGTAATTGAGGATTAACTTAATAATACTTGAGTGTATGATCATATCAAAAAAAAAA